AAACCTCACTGAGTTTTCCTTCATTTTTAAAAGTTACGATTTACATAGAGTAAAGCTCACTTTTAATGTGAAGTTCTGTGTTTTGACAAACCATACAATCGTGTAACCGCTACCACAATTAAGGTAGCCAACAGTTCCACTGCACTTCCAAATTCCCTTGTGCCCTTTTACAGCTGACTGACTGTAAATGTCTCTCCCCACCGTCAACCTCTGGCAACCACTAATCTGTTTTCTGCCCCTAGGGTTGTGCCTTTTTTCTAGAATATCATATAAATGGAATTGTACAGTACATAGCTTTTGAGGGAGGCTTCTTACTATGCTATTTTATGTACCAGGACTTGATTCTTTTTCATTGTCTAGTAGTGTTTATTGTATGAATTTACCACAGTGTGTTTACCCCTTCACCAGCTGAGACACATCTGAGTGGCTTCTAGGATTTGGTGACTGCGAATAAAGTTACTATGTACAGATCTTTGTGAAGACATACCTTTCTTTTCTCTTGGGTAAATGACAAGGAACGGGATTGCTGGGTCAAACAGTAAGTGTATGTTTACCTTTGTAAGATGCTACTAAAATGTTGGCCAAAGTGACAGCAACATTTTGCATCCCCACCAGCAATGATGGCTACAGTTGCTTCACATCTTCACTTTCTCACTAGCACTTGGTATTTTCTGTTTTCTTTTGCTTTGATTTGTCTTTAGCCAGTCAAATGGGCATCTCGTGATTTTAATTTGCATTTCCCTAACGACTAATGATGTTGAATGCTTTTTAATGTGCCTATTTGCCATCTGTATATAATCTTTGCTAAAGTACACATTCAAATTTTGTGCCCCTTTTCTCCATGAGGTTGTTTGCAAAGTCGTTTTTTTTTTTTTTTAATGTCCTGACTGCCTTTCTCTATGACCGAGGCACTCAGTTGTTCCTGCATTATTTTTTTTCTACCAGGAAATGTCCTTCTAGCTCCTGCTTTCTGGAACTGGTAGCACCCCTTGTTCTGTTCCAGCCACCTATCTCTACCCATTTGAGGCCATTCTCTCCCAAAGCTGATGGTTCCAAACTCTCCTCTTCATCTAAATGAAGCTAAGGGCTATTTTGCAGGCCGTTCCCCCAACTCTGCTCCCCTAAGTATCCTGTCGCCATCATTCTCCCCTTTCATGTGGAAGGTCTTCCTCACATGTCTGGAACTCTTGGACTCACTCATATTTACAGAGTGGGCGCTATGTACACGGGGCACCTTGTAGGCTGGTGAGCCTCACCCAGGAGGCTTGGATAGGAGGCTCTTCCAAATGCCAGCCCTCTGTTTCTCTTCTGTGAGGCTGTTCATTTCCTGCAAGAAGAATGAAGGCTACAGCCTCCATCTTGGGCCTGTGTCTCAGGGCAGACAGCGTGCCAGGGGTGTGGGAGCCAGGGCTCTCGGGGGGCTCGAGAGTCTCATGGGCCCACATGGACACTCACTCAACCTCATGGTCAGTAAGGAGCCTCCCCACTGTGCCTTCGTCTGGAGACTCTGGTTTACTTTGGGCAGGGAACGGACTCCCTTTCTTTAGCTGGAGGGACTCGCCCACCTGGGCGGGCGGGGGAGGTGCACCTAGCTGTCTGTTCCTCATGCATGTTCTTTTTAGCTCCACTCTGTACTCCAGCTTCCCACCATGCCTGACGCTTCCACTTCTTGAGTTGTTATGGGGTTTGAGGCCCCTGGGCCTCATCTTCCCTGCTTACCTCAGGCACTTATCACTCTCCTGCTTTCTTCCCATTGGTCCAAAATGTGACTTCATTTTTTACTTGTCCCTGTGATTACAAATCCTTTTATTTCTTTACTGCAATTTTACTAGTTCTTAGAGAAGCAGCAGAGAGATACATGGATTCTGTCTACAATTTTTAAAAGAAAAGTCAGCGCTAGTTTTTAAATATGATTTTTCACAGGAGGGTTGTAAAATTTCTTAGTCACATACATTTAGTTTGTAAAGAATAAAAATCCACTCAAGCCAATTTATGTAAAAAACAATTTTATGTATGAGTTTGGGGATTTCTAACAGAATCCAAGTGCTGGAAAGCCACGGATATGCTGGAATGAAGGTTGCTAATGATCAGCATTCTTTTCTGTAGTCTTCCACCTATTTTTCTTAGCTAGTCTCAGTCCCCACCCCCTTCTCTCTCTCTGTTTGTGGACATCCTTCTTTTCTGAGTATTCATCATCCTAGGTTTTAAATGAACCCTAAGAAGCCCCTGATCTAACTCTAGAAACTGCTAACAAATTCTATAGTCTCACATGAGGTAACCTGACACAGTTCTTGTGTCGCATGTTTCCTCACGTCCAATCAGCTGTGGGTGGAGAGTGGTGCACTACAAATGGCAGTGATAGGATCCCTGGAAGGAGACATTTCTCTCAGATCAGGGACACTAAGACTTATCTGCTACATGAAGATGAAATAAGTATAATGAACATGATAGATATTAAATAACTTTTCTCAAATAGTTTCAAATTTATGGAATATCTTCTCTATTGTATCCTTTATAATTTCATTAAAACATTTTATTCCCAAATAAGCTTAAAGCTATTATAAAGCCATTATAATCTAGCAAGAATAGAAAAATGAAAGCTAGTAATATTAGCCAAGTGGCTCAGAGAAATTACACATAGTGATGGAAATGCAAAGCATGAAGAATATGACTTGTCCAAACAGACCCTGAATGAGAAAATCAACTGATATTCAAGGTCCTAGGCCAGAATCTATGACTTGATGACCAACACTCAGCACATGACCTGAAGTTTCTTAATGTGAGCAGAACAATGTTAAACTGAAGAATCTACAACCAAACCACTAATGAAAGAAAAATATAAATGAGGCTTTCCATATAAAAATATTAATAAATAGTTTTCTTGAAAAGTAGGTCTAAATATTGGGAGGGAAAATAAGATATTAAAAAAGAGGCAAAAATCTATATAGAATTTAATTTAACTTTAGAGCTACTACGGCTTTGGATCCAACCAGCTGAGGGTAGGGAGTGAATACTATTCCTCAGAATCATATTTTCAAGGATACTCTATAATGACATTACAATGACAAAAATGATGTAGTCTGAAATACTAAAGATGATACAAAACTAGGGGAATAATGGTTGACTTAAAACGCTCTTGCAAAATTGAAACCAATTAATTTTTTAAAAGATACAATCTAGTGGAATCCTATTTCCAAAACTTTGAGAACAAAAAAGGTTAGAACATATTGGTCTTTAAATATTCTAAGCACACACAGGGCAGATACATTTCTCTGGCTTGCGAAGGTTTGCCATTTTCTGCAGTTCACTGAACAGACAAAATGTCTCAGCTCTTGGTGTCCATAGTTTATATTATAAAACAGAAAAGAAGTTCTGAGCTTCCCTTGAAAAACAATACAAAATACCACCACCTATAAAACCCTCTTGCTCTCTACTCATTCAACACCTGGTCAATGTCTTCTCCTGGTTTGATGTATCATGATTCATGAATCACATATACCCTTGGAGGAACTGGGCTGGCGGTACAGGCTTGAGGGACTCAGAGGAACCGGCCCTACAGGGTCAGAGGAGAGATGGTTGGTAGACAGTGACCCACTCCTCACAGGAACCCACAAGAGGCAGGACCTGCCCTTTGGTCGACTGTGGTCCTGTGTGGAGGAGGCCAGAGGAAACACATGTGGCCACGCCTTCTAGATCCAACACAGCCTCAGAAAGATTCTTTAACAGGAGGACAGAAATAAATACCCCAAGACCATGAGTGCCTTTGCTTCGCAGACATACTTCCCATAGAGCCCCAATTCTTTGTATTTTGTCAGTTTCTAAATCAGGCTTGAGCTGCATAAATGGAATATTTTTCTGCTGAGATTATCTGTACTCCTCAGGAGAAAAGAGTGAATTTCCATTCAGTGGGACTTGGGAATCATTACTACCCACTCCACCTCAGTTTCTCTCTCCCAGCAGGCCTAAGACTCTTTTTCCCCTTCTAAAATGCCTCAAGGTAACCATGCATTACCACCAAGAGGATTCATTTCCACCTACTAACACCATCCAGGCTAGTCTATGTTAGAGCCAGACTTACAACCTAGACTGTACTTCTCTGTCTGTGGTTCTTATCAATATCAAAGTCCCCTCAGGCTTTATTTTTTATTAATTTGTTTTAAAACAATCAGCACCCATTAGGATCATGTCTGTTATATAAGAGGAGAAATACGGAAGCTATTCTACAAACACAGAACCCACAAATGCTTGTTGAAGCTCAGCTTTGCTAAGGTAGATACATTAGAATGGGAAGCAAAATGATGCCAAAACCTCCAGGTATTGTGGCAGATCAACTATTAAGGTTGCGCTTGTCAGAGAAAACAGAGTTGGCCATTTGTCACAGGTGGCAAGACAGAGTTTATTCAGGGTACTGCAGGAGAAAGATGCTCCTGCATAAACTGAGTCTGATTCCCTGAAACAAAAACAGGGTGTCTTTTAAATGCTGTGTGCGCTAATGGAAAATATTAAAGGATGTTGTGCATTTGGTCAGTGTGGGTGGCCATATGTGACTACTAACTGGTGCTTTTTGAAGATAGGCTCCTATCCTCCCACAGAGATGGGGGCGGGGACAAGGACCCTATCTTTCATGATGGTCACAGTTAAAGGAATGACTTCCTGGTCATTGACAAAGGTATTTCTGGGTTGTAGAAGATACATCTCAAAGGGACAGAGAAAAGATTTACAATTGCAAGTTTTCTAAAGTAAGTGCTCTATGAAGAAAAAGGAGTCAGATTTTAGCTCAGAAGAAAAAGTAAATTTTCCTGAGCCTTCTGAGGCAGCCATTTTAAGGGGTTGGAATTATCTTTCTAGGAACGCAGCCCTGCGTTGATAGAATTTGCTGAAGTCTTTTAGTGTGGGTGGTGGACAAAGTCATTTGTACAAAGAGGTTTGCAGTTCTTACCACTATGATTCCTAACTCTTGGTATCCATGCCTTTCTGTAATTCCCTCCTTTTGAGTGCAGGTGAGACCTATGACTTGCTTCTAATCAACTGATTTCGACAAAGATGGTGGAGTGAGCATGAAGACATGTATACAGTTACGTTATATAAGATGGTGGCATACATCTCTGAAGAGACTTTCTGCTCACTTGTTGGTTTCGATGAAAGGAGACCCAAGGGGCAAGGAACAGCCAACAAGGAAATGGGGCCCCCAGTCCTGCAACCACAAGGAAATGAATTCTGCCAACAACCTGATTGGAATGAACCTCCTCCCAGTCAAAGAGTCAGATGAGACCCATCCCCAGACAACACCTTGAATGCAGCCTTGCAGAAAATAAAGCAAAGTGTACCCAGACTCCTGACCCACAGAAACTGTGAGATAATAAATGTGTGTTGTTTGAAGCTAAATCTGTGGTGTTTTGTTACACAGGAATCAATAGCTAATATGGTCAGTACTTCCAAAAGCATCTTTAGTTGAACACTTTTCTCATGTCATGAAAAAAAAGGTTTCACATCCAAATCAGTGTGGGGAATGCTGCATTCTGCGTCCTCCACCACCCTGGAGAGTCAGTGCATTCTGAGAAAGACAAAGGATCTTTATTATATCAAAGTTAACTAAAAATTTTTTCCATTATTGAACTCAATCCCACTTTGATTTGCTAACTTTTAAGGATATCTTATAAAAGTAGTTTTCAAATTATACCACAGGAGGGGCTGTGAAGAGCAATAGCCTTCAAGCTGGAGAATACATCCCATCAGGGAATCAACTTTCAGATTCTCACTTCCTTGTATTCTTTTTCCCAAACTAATACTCCTGGAGATGTGCCTTCAAGTTCTATTTCCCATGTTATATTTTCTAAAAAGGACCCATCCCATCCATCCTCACTAAACCTCTAGATGACAAACAAAAGGACAACTTGGAACACTGGTGCCCATGTTGAGAAAGTGAATGACCATAGACTGGACATCACATACTTTCTCAGACCCAATTTTCCTTTCATTACTTTCACATTGCAGAAGAGCTTATGAAATGGGGGAAATGGATGTGACCATCCTTGGAAAATACTGTCTGCCACAAATGGGCAAATAAATTCGTAAGTGAGTTTCCTCACAGGTAATTGAGGCAAGATGAAATATGTTCAAGGTTAGGGCTAGGAAGACCCCTGGGATGAGGTGTTGCCGAAGCTCCTCCGAGTGTGGCAGCTGGTCGTGAGGAAAGAAAGAAGCTTTAAAAGCCGTGGAGTCGCACGCACACACAAAGTTAATTCCTACTGCCATGCCAGAGAGGTCACATGGACTCCTCACAGCCATTCCAAAGCCAAGGGGAATTCTTACCCATATGTTATAGATACAGGAAAGTACACTTTAGAGAGCTGCAAAACTAGGGCTTGAACCCAGATTTGGTTCTCCCAGTTCAGTGTGCTTTTAACACCACACCATCAAGTGGGCTTTCCCCGCTACAGTGGGAAGGCAGCTAACCAAGCCTTTTGTTTTCCTTCTTTAAGGTGACACTTTAATTCCTTCTATGGAGATTTCACCTCCGTAAAGGGACCCGGGGAGCACTGGGTTACCAGGGCATTTAGATGCAACTCCAATCCCATGAACAAGCCTATGCAAGTTCCATTTTTAACTTCTAAGAATAACAGCAGGCTTTCCCCCTGCCCCACCCCCTTTCATGAGATGTCTACAGAGACTGATGAGATTCTGATGATCAGAAAGTACTTTTGCAGTAAATAATGATATGGCTGAGAAATTTATAGAAACTGAAAACTCAATGTCATTTCCATGAGGTAAATCATTGCAGGAACTGAGTCATACCAATCTGACCTTCCTATGACTTTGTATTCATATAGTTACATTGCATATGAACAGGTTAAGTAAGATAACTAAGTGCTCCGTTGTCTCTGAATGAAGTATGCCAGGGAAGAACAATGACAAAGGAAACTGATTTTTCCCAGGAATTTCTTTTAGAAGACTAAATGCAGAGGCACATATAAATTTCTTTCTTTATATCTACACCATTCCCTAAAGAGTTAAAGATGGCTTATAAAATCTATACAATAAAACAGAAGAAAGTAAGCATAAGTAAATAAAATCAGGAACAGGTAAAATATAAATTAGGAACCAAGGTCAAAACTGGAGAGAAGTAGAATGCAGAGAGGCATGTCCCACTGAGTGACTAAAGGCGAGCCACAAATATGGCTCTGAGCTTCCTGGAGGCTAAGAAGCTAGAAATTAATGAACAGACTAACAGATTTTGATATGTTATCAGTAGGAAAAATGCACTTTCCATTAGCCATCTAATTCTATAATACTTTACAATCAATATTCTTTGCAGATAAACTTTAAACATGGAAATTTTTTTGTGCAAAATAAAGGCTTTTGCTAATTAGGAGGACTTGCATAGAGGAGTGTGTTTACTAAAGTGTTTTCTCATTGTAAAAGCTGATGGTTTCAAAAAATGTATTGTGATAAGAAAGGGAGTTTCAAAGAGTTCCCTGGTTAATCAGGAAAGGTAACCAAGGGCCTGCTGCTTTGAAGGTTTAATCCAAGATACTTATCCAACCTCTTTGTTGAGCAAATCTTGCAAATAAGGTCTTTTCAGAAGATTCACAGCATTTTCTGTGGGAGCCTGAAATGTCAGCAGAACATGCTTGCTTACGATTTTATGCTGGCATAACGTCCTAACAGTTGGGGTGGGAATGGAAATGGAAGATAGCAAAATTGTTTTGTTGCCTGATTTTTATGCTGTACTACCTAACAACTTTTCTGTCAGTGATGATAGGCATAACATAAAGAGAAAACAAAACAAGTAAATAAATCAAAGAAAGAAAACAAAGCTTAACAAGAGCCAGAAGATCTCTATCCTAAAAACAGATCTCTCAATGACTGTCTATAACCTAAAACTAGGGCAATTGGCCAGTGGATGAGATTAGTGAATGTCCAGAACTTGACAGTATCAACAAATCCTCAGTTCTCAATAATTATTAGTGTTAAAGGATACGTTTTAAAAGAGGATAAAGTTATGACTCTTATACAGATAAAATATGAACACACATGACAGATTTCATGTAATGCATTGTTAACAAAGGAAACAGGCAGATGTTACAACCAATTCAAAGAAGAATCCAAAGAACAGATACATTTACAGGTTAGGGATATTGAAATGAATTTTCAAATAATTCATAAGAAGGCTGGCCCTCCACCAGATAGAATTCATTTGCCTGTGCATAGGCCTGTATGATTTGCTTTTGCCATCAACTGTAATATAGCTCAAAGGCAATAAAAGCTATGATCAGATAACTCTGGAAAGGTGTCTCTAAACAGTGCATAGTTTTCCACTGAAGACTCCTAGTACTATTATTTGTTTATTCTCATGTTCTTTACACTAGTAAATAAACATGTTTTCAACCCTGGACACCCCAGGGGTACCAGGCCCACCTTCAGGCATTTTGAAGCATATCATGTTTTTTATCGTATGTCTTGAGGTTCATCAATGGAACAGTGACCTTCCATCTTGAAGAAAACAAAACAGAGGGTCCTGAACAGAATCCTAATATTCTGTGGACTCTCAAGATTTGCCCTCATTACACATCCTTCAATGGCTGCCTTTCCACTAAAACTAAGGCATTTGATGATTGGATGGGATTAGTGAATGTCCACATCTCATCAATGTCAACGAATCAATCTTGCAAGAAGAGTGACTTAAGGATACAACCTCAAAACAATGCTTTAGTAATACATGTGATTTAAAATATTCAACAAATAAATAAAATTATCTTTTGCTAGATCATTTCGCTGGTGGCAGAAAGACTACCTGTTCACCAAATTCATTTCCTCCTCCCCCAGGGTGCACAGCTAGATCATGTTCCCAGCTCCCTTTGCAGTTAGAGACAGACACACGGCTGCATTCTGGCCAAAGCAATGTGCGTAGAAGCGACTGCCCTGCCTCTAGGTCCATGCCTTCTCCTGTCCCCTGCCCGCCAACTGGATGCAGACGACTCTAAGATACATAGGAGGAAAGAGACCTATTCAGAAAGGAGTGTAGATCCCCAAAACCATGAGTTTTTTGGATGTTATGCGAAGGAGAAGTAAATACATGTTGTATGAAGTCTTTGAGTTTTGTGATTTAGTTGTAATAGAAACTAGTATTACTTTAACATATAAAAATCTAAATTTGTTCTGAATTTAAATTTCTAAAAATAGGCAATATAGTCACAATGTTTAACAATCAAAACGATATAAAAGGTGCCCAATGACCCTTTCATTCCCCACCTCATTGCTGTATACACTGCTGAGTTAGGATTTAAGTCCAGTCCTAGTTGACTAGGACCATAGCCCTGCCCCACCTTCTTCAGGAAGGCCGGAACCTGAAACAATTTTCTTTTATTCACCAAAGACAACAGTAGAACACACATAGGGAGAGTCAGATAACCAAAGATAATGTGAGGATGAGGCTGAGCGGAACTGCCGCCATCCCAGCACGTGGTGGCGGGAGGGGGGCACAGCAGCCCCCTCATTCAGCTGTCTGCCCCATATCATTGGTGCCAATGAAGCTTTACAGCATCACAAGGGCCTCCCTCCTTCCTTATGGAACAGCGTTTTTGGGGCCGCTATTAATCTGCATGTCAGAGCCAATCTACTGTTTTAGTTCCCAGCCCTCATTGCTGAAAGAACAAAAAAGATACCATTTCTTTCCAACTTAAAATTCTGTAACTCTTGGCCTCCATTCTTACTCCTCTCCCTGCCTCCTGCACATTGTCTTGGGAGGCGCACGCAAGACCAGATGCAGCATGCTCACCCTGCTACTTCTCCCAGAGTCAAAGTCAAGGAGCCACTGTGGAGAGTCCTCTACCTGGAAGGTGGGACCCTCATCCTAGTGATTCTCTGTTCACAATGTCCCTCACCCCTAGGTCACGTGGAGGAGGCATGATTTCAACATAGATATGTAAGGTTCCAAATAATCAAGCTCTGATGCTTTTCTGGGCTGTTATAAGTTAATTACTGGGGGTGCTTTAATATGAGGGGAGCCCCCCCAAAATCGGAATTTATTTATTAAAAATTATGTATTTATCCTTACGTTTCAATTTCAGTCCCTTCAAAATATTCTCCATTTGATGCAATACACCAATGAAGACCTTTTTTCCACTGTTCAAAACAGTTTTTGAACTCATCAATTTTGATGCCTTTTAGTGCTTTTGCTATTTCTGTTTTTGTTTGTTTGTTTCATCTCTTCCACAGCAAAATGTTTTTGCTTTGAGGGCTTTCTTCATCCAGGGAAGCAAAAAAAAAGTCACTCTGGGTGAGATCAGGTGAATAGGGAGGGCAGGGCACAGGGGTCATCCTGTTTTTGGTCAA